CGAATGTAGTCCGAGCATAGATAGTCTGAGGCGGTCCCGCTCCCACAGGTCTCTCCCATAGACAAGTCTCTCCAGAGGATATGATGTAAGCTAGCTATGTTCACCTGGGCTTGATTTCTTTGATCATTTTTTCGCTTTAGTTCCCTCTTCTCTTCCTCACTGTTGCGTCGTTTGGGCTGTTTCGCTGTGTCTGCAGTTACAGCCAGAGAAGTTATAGCCAATTCTGCTAACATGCTACTGTGTTTAGCAGCGCTGTAGAGGCAAGAGGACGCAGCCTCGTTCTGTGATTGGAGGAGAGCGTCCCGCTAAGTCTCTACTAAGCACTTTTTACGGCCTGAATTCATACACAAGCTGAATCAATGAGCTCAAGTTTTCAATTAAATTACGGATTTTAATACAACTTGTATGTAGTAATAAGCATTTTTATGAACTCATTAGAAAAAATATTGGGTATAGCTTCTTTAAAGCTGGGGTACTTCACTTTATTTTTCCATAAATAATACATTTTCTTGAAAGAGTCTGGAGAAGTAAATCAGACCACAACATACTGTCTTTGTCTTATTAGAAAACATGTCATCTTTCACGCACTTGAAAGAACGCTGTGGGCCGAGAGTGAGGGTGGCCATCTTTTTTGCACATTTTTGTCTGATAAAGCTGATTCAAAGATGTGATGTGAGGCCATGAATACACAAATGTGCTATTACATGGATTTTATTACATAGTGTTATGTGTTGAAACAAGTTTTAAAGCAATCATCAAACATCCGATGTAGTAAAGATTGAGTTTATACCGTTTGCCTAGATTGCGTTTCCTCATTGTTTATGGCTGTTAGAGCAATCACATGTCGTAAGCTCAAACTAAACATGAGCAGAGAGCACTTCACTTATTTATTGGTCGATTGTAAAAGTCCTCATTAGGCTTTTCCACATCCACTCCTGATTATGTTTATTTGACAACGGTAACCATACTTGCCAACATCAGACACAAAAATGATTACAGTCGACTTTTTAGGCTCAAAACTCAACACAATACCCAACACATACCCTGGCATAGTGTGGCCCAACTGTGTGGGCACTTCTTTGACCGCTGTCTCTCGACGTAGTTCTCCAATTTGTGATGGTTGAATAAAGTTAAGTTTGCCCGGGGAGCAGTGTGAGGAATTCCTGTGTAGCAGGAAGCATACTTTTGACGAGTTAACCGGAATTCCATTCTTTGCTCTTGTCCTCTAGGTTCATTAGAAAAGCACTAAATCTCTTTGTGTTTCCCGTGAAAGTAAGAGGAGAGACAGTGGGTGAGCCTCGTGGTTTTTGTGAGAGAAAGTTGGCATGGAAATTAGGGCAGTTTTAATTGTTCGAAGTTAGACCAGCAGATTTGTAGTTACTTGTTAGACATCTTACAATATATTCAACATTTAACAATTGGACACATCCATATCACTCATGCTTTGCAGCACAACGGTCCTGGGAACTGAACCCATCTTGTTCAATTCTCAGAGCAGACAGGCCTTTCTGCATATGTTTCCTCCGGGTGCTACGGTTTCCTCCACCTCTAAAAATTGAAAATAATTCAGGGTGAATGAGTTTGTTTTTGAGTGAACTAAGGGACAACAAATGTAAATTAGACCATTAACATGCACTCTTCTAACTTAGCAAACAAACAACTCATGCTCTCAACTTTTTCATGCCATTTTCAAAACTTTGAACACAAGCAATAATTTGCTAAAAGCCAATACTGGAACAAAAAAATACTAAATGTTAGATTTAGTAAAATATTTTATCATTCATTACCTTTCCTCAAAAAGACAAAACCTTCTTAACGTTACAAGTTTGTGGAAAGAGGGAGATTAAAATGTTTGAAATGGAGCAGTGTGGCTCAATTCTTTTCTCTTTGATCACATGTAACATTTTGATCCTGCACTCTTTATTTTGGATTTGCGTGTCACCTGTTCTAACTCAAGCATCGCTTCACATCACGTTATTCAAACGATGATCCAAACTATTATGTAAGACGACCTCTGCTGTAGCGTACCCTGCGGCCCCCTTTTTGCTCATATGCTGCCTGTTTACCAACTTTTAACTCAGTGACGAGATAACAGCTCATCTCTAACGCGGATGCGACCTTGAGAGGTTCCACATCTCCCAACGCTGCGTTCCAATTGGTCGAACAGGGGCACGTCCTACCCCTAAACTGTCATGACAGGGGCTATCAATGCAAACACCAGCTGGGTGGGGGTGGCACAGCGTGGAGGGGTCTATAAACAAAACCAGCTTTCTGATGGCCTTCCACATTTCAGTTTCTTGTTTTAACATATTAGATGTATTCAATCAGCCTCAACCCCGGGGGTCTTAAATGTTTCACTGTTTTGTTTGTCACTAAAAAGGTGATGCAATCATTGTTTCTATTTTTTATTATCTATTTGAAGGCATTTGTCAATTTAGATTCACCGTTTTAAAGAAATAACAGTAACATTTTTAGTTTTTTTAGTACAACTTGAGCAACTTCAGTGTCCCCGTTAGATGTAAGGGTGGTGACTGCTTGTGCCAAAATGGGGCGGAGTCTCAGCTCTTATTGGTGGGAAGAGGCTCGACCTTCTCCTATTAAATGCCTCTCTGAGTTACCTGAGTTGCTATTCCAGTCTTTTCAGTGTGTGGCCTTCTTTCATCTTCAGCTTACTGGTTTACCACGCTGACAGTTTCCAACTCTTAATACTTAATACTAAAGGAAAGGAAATAATTGGAAAACATACCTTACCTGAGTGAGTATGCATTTGTTATTAATTGCAATCTGTAAATATTAAAAACAGCACCTGAGAATTTGCATATTATGTTTTGACGTTTTACTAGTTCAAAAGTTGACACTTTCAATGCTTATTTAAAGTTTCCATTTGCATATGTGTACACACACATATGCAACAGGCTACTGTGTGTGTTTTAAGTCAAAATAGTGGAGCAGGCTGGGCTGATGCAAGAGTTTGTTCGGGCGAGGTTGACAGCAATGAATCCTGCTCTGTTCAAATACAATCTGCAGGATTGTGTACTCAGCGCACAAATTATTTAATGGATGAAGTCATGCTATACATGCTGTGGTCTCCAGAATTAGGTTATGTTCATGAACATGTATAAAAAGAGCAGGTTTCACTCTATTTTTTTGAGAAACTTACTCTTTATGCATTGCAAACCCTTTGCATGTGTTTGTTTTTGACAGACAAACAGTCCCCCTCTCTGATCCCCCTGTCACGATTCCTCAGATTATTGTTGAATACGTCTTGTCCTTTTTGTCACGAGTCATTCCTGTGCGTCAAAAGCTTGCAACCCCTATTGTCGTGAGCTAATGCAGTCAGACAGGTTGATTCTCTTGGCAAAGGTGTCGTCCCCTGTAGACCAGCCACAGATTAGCTGCACTCATGACCCAGCGTTTGACCCATTGGCACAAACAGGTCCACTGGCACAAGCTGCTGCTGTTGGGATAAAACCATTCATCTGTGAGTGTAAAGTAACACATGAGGCAGATCTTTTCTGTGAAGTACAGGGAAGTACAGGGAAGTGCAGGGGATGGTTATCTGAAATGTATCTGAAGAATGCTACACAAGTGGAACATCTCAAATACAAAAGATGTTGTTAAAACACACAATATCAAATTGAGTATTACAATCTGTACTCAGAAAATGTGTCCGCAGGGACTGTTACATGAATGTTGTTTTGTATTCTCATTCAAAAATATAACTATTTTGTTTGATTTCTTTGGAACGAGCATTCACTTGTCAATTCCATGAATTTTTCACGGGTTTTTGATATCCATCCATCCATCCATTTTCTTCCGCTTTATCCGTTGCCGGGTCGCGGGGGCAGCAGTCTAAGCAGAGACGCCCAGACTTCCCTATCCACACACACTTCCTCCAGCTCGTCTGGGGGGACCCCAAGGCGCTCCCAGGCCAGCTGAGAGACATAGTCCCTCCAGCGTGTCCTAGTTCTTCCGCGGGGCCTCCTCCCCCCTGAATGTTTTTGATATTCATCTAATAATTGTTATCTGTTGTCGGGCAAACATAATAACAGAACAAAATCATTCTCTGATCATTGGATTATCTTAAATATATTGTTTTTTGAAAAAGCTGCACATCTGAGAGACTGATGATAAGAAAGAAAGAGTCTGCATATTGGACTACTTCTTATTCTGAGTGCATTAAGTTCATGTCAAGATTGAATTGACAGAAATGAGACTTGCAAAAATGTTTTAGGACCTTTTAGTATTTTAGTTTTATTTCAAGGCAACCCTCTGCCCCTTCGTCCGTGTCTAAAAGCTGATAGTAAAAATATCAATACAGGCGACACCATTTGGCTACAATATATTCTTCTTCAAGGCCGGCCGATAGAAACGAGACAATACATGTCTGCATCAGTCATCTGACCTCACATCAGAGCCCACACAAGTGCAGGTGGAGCTTTGGAATTATAAAGAGCTCCCACCAGACGGCACCCACCATAATACCCTCAACAGGTTATTGGAAAGAACTTCAAACCAGACTGAATGTGACTTTAACGTGGATAGCCAACATCAAGCCAGGATAAAAATGTAGACTGATTATGCTTGGATCTGAAGTGACAGTGTCTCTCCCCTCTGCTGCAGTCATACTGTACAATGAGCAATGCTGACACATGTACATGTCACATTCCAAAGACAATGTGACATGGTTAGATATTGTACACATCTTTAAGCAGTAGAAATATTGTGTAATATGGTATCACAATTCTTATTGAGTTAGATTCTCAAAAAAATATATACAGCTATTTACATTGTATTGTGTAACACAAGCCTTATCCCACAGTGGGACGAGTTACATTTTTGGGGTAAATAGCCTTTCCTTTAAAGTTATTTATTGATTTCCTGAATATTTTTGTCAATTTTATTTGAAGAAATTCTAAGTGTTTTTTAATTTATTTGAAGGTAATTTCTTTGTTCCGGGTCGGAGGATCTGAGTGTGGAAGTGTGTCCCTGTGTCCGTCATGCCGAGCGTCGTGGACCGCATGGAGCTGAGGAAAGTGTCCACTCTGGATGATGACAGCCAGGACAGTCAGGACGATCACTACCCCGAGTCCATCGACGCCGATAAGGCCACAATCAGCAGGTAAGAAACTAAAGTACTGCAATGCAAATGTATTTATATAACTGCTATATATACTGCTTTGATAACAGCTGCCGACAGAGGCCTTATGGGTACTGCAGGATGGGTCAAGTTTATTACATTGCCCCATGACGTGAATCATCTCTTTTTCAAGGGGCCGTAATAGAAAAAGTTCACCTTAACCTCACTTCAGTAGATAGACTTAAAGTATCAAATGAAAACTAGTAAGTAGATTTGTGAATTAGGTTTTATTTGTATTATTATATATGACATTTTACACTGAACAAGGGTCAACTTTGGGCTGGTTGTGTGATGTTATGACAAGATTGAATCCTAGCTTTTTTTTTTCGATCATATCCACAAGGCTAAAGACACGATTTGAAATTGATTGTTCTGTATACCTGAGTGATACTCTTGTGACACAAATCAGGAAATCTATCACAAAGCCACTGCTTCCTGCAGATCAGATGACACTATTTACACCACAAACATGGTCATCTCAAGTCAGGTCAAGAAACTCTCTACTACATCATTCTGTCGAGAATGACTTTGTGTTAACTATAAGCTCCTTCACTCTCCTTCAGTTTTAGCAGTAATACTGACAACATTATTCTTGAAAATGCAACGATGAATAAATAACATCTGAAAAGGGAAATAAGCTTCTTACTTCTGCGGCGACTGCAGTTTCCACTTTGTCCTGCTGCTCCTTTTGTTACTCATATTCTATACAATGTACGCGTTTAGCCTATACCTGCAATATTTTTGGTCACAAATAGCAAAGGCTAAAGGTTATCCAAAGCATGAAGTTTCGTAATTTTATACTGTATTTCCCGTATTTCTCTCATATATCAATACTCCAAAAAGACAATTCATCCTTCACTTTTCGGGTCAATTTAAATGAATAGTGTTTGACATATACCTGTATGACTCTGGACTCCTTCCCTTTGCAGCAGTCAGTATCTCGACGACAATGATGACGCGGAGAGCCAGAAGTTTCTGTCAAACGGACTCATGAAGAAGAAGAAGTACGAGGAATATCACGAAGAATATGTGAGTTTATTTGTTCCGTTTGATTACTTTATCTGTTCCATCATGTGCATGGATCATCAGGTTTGCACTGATGAAAGCACGAGGTATTTATTTAACAAACGCTGTGCAACCCTAACTTGACCAATCAAAATCCTTATATAACTTGCGGCTTCGTGATTGGATTTGAGTTTATTTAATTTGTGCAGCAAGACAGATCCGTATTCCTTTTATATAACAGTGTTTGGAGATGCACAGCAACAAGCCAGACAAAACTGATGATTGGAAAAAGTGTTGGCAAAATAATTATCAATAGAAAGTTTCCAAGACACTGTAAGATTTAGAAGAACCTGTACAGAGTATGAGTAATACATGTAGCCTATTTAAAAAATGATTTATAAGTGTGCTACTTAACTAACACGCTAATACAAGCCTAAATTGATTTACGAGCTGAATTAAGCGAGTCCGACTGCCTTTTGCGACGTGGTTTGGGTTTGTGGTCACCGCCAAAGCTGAGACTATAATGACTCACGTTCCTTTGTTGAACAGCACCCGGGACACACCTCTTTCGGGATGTCCGTCTTCAACCTCAGCAACGCCATCATGGGCAGCGGCATCCTGGGACTGTCCTACGCTATGGCCAACACTGGCATCATACTGTTCACGTGAGTCTTTCTGTGTAAAAGGAATTGCATTAGCATTACAGAGTCTGTTCAAATCCTCTGTGCCTCTGAGGAGTTGCAGCTGGGAGTTGTCTTATCTTGAAATGCCTTCAGAAATAAAGCTGGGTGTATCATTTCATAAACCGCACTTTATTTTCCATAAAAGGAGCCATGTAAGGGCTGTGTGAACATAGCCGACCACAATGTGCTGTCTTCGTGTTATTATAAAAATGTAAGATGCAAACTTTTAATAAAGATGTCGCTCTCGGTAAGAATCGCAGATATCTATGTAATCTTCCAAATCAGAGCGTTCATGAGGAGCTGGTGACACACACATGCAGTCGACAGCAACAATACAAACATTTGGAGAAACGTAATTGGATTCTCTTTGCTCGTTTATTAGAAAGGCACAGAAATGGTCGATGTTTTGAGAAATACAGGAGGATCTCATTTATTTCCACAAAGCATGGGCATAAATTCACAAAATTATAATATTCCATTGGATTCGGGCTTACATATGATTATTTTCACAGACACAAACTCGGAAACTCAGGGTTCTTTGATTTAGACCAAAATGGCCCAATTCTGGTTCACTTTGTTGGTGGTTTTACGTCAATAAACAAAGGATTTTTCCCCAATATTGTGACTTCCTGTTGCTTTTACACTGATTGGACAAATAGTCAGTTATGAGCCCCACATTTAGTGCACAAGCAAGTTAGCATACAGTCACGTCCCACATATCAAATGTTCTCTCCTGTGCCCGGGGCTTGTTCTCCTGTCGGGTCAGCCCGCCCTATCTCCTCTGTCATGTGCCCATTCCACCTCCCAAATATCACTGTACACGGGACCCAGCTCTGAGACCCCTGCCTGCGCTGCCAGTGTTAAAGGCAACGGGCTATAAATACCATCCTCCGATATCCGCTTGGGTTAAAATTACAAGTGGAAATATACCAGGCAAATGGCGGTGCTGGGAGCTTCTGCGGCTACTTAAGTTCATTTGTACCCTGCTTTAATCCATGTTTTAACTTTGTCCTCATACCCGCTGTTATTTTTATGTTTCAAAATCCCGTACTCGGTATGCTTTGATAAATCCTCAGACCATGAATGCCTTTAAAACAAAAGTGTTTTCTCTAAATGAGGTATGGGAACATTAAAACGTTGCAACTGCGTGCCTTCATCTAGGCTGTGTCATGTTATGGGAGCGTCATCTCTTTTATGTTATCCAAAATTAAATTATTTCAATCTCTCTAAATGACAAAAACAAATAGATAATATAATAATTATCTTCAAGGAACAAAATGAAGTCTGCTATTTGTTCTATAACGGCCGTGGCTGCCTATTGCAAGTGTAGATTATTGCACTGCTCTCCCTCTGCATGTCATAAATCTTACTTAAATATATACATTGAGACAGCTGCTCCCTGTCATGCTGGTTTGCCTGATATTTATTGTTCCAAGTATTGGAATAACTCAAGCCAAAACACTGTCATTATCTATGTTAATATACGTTTTATTTTGTTGAAAACACTATGTGAAAAGTCCTTATCGTCATGATATCTCGGGCTTGTTAAATCCTGATCTCAGAAGCTGCCCCGGGCCTGGGCAGTACTGTACCAGGTATCACGGTGCTAAGACGGAGGCTGCCAAGGGCAACACTGTTTTGTCCTTGGGCAAGACACTTCACCCATGTTGTCCTGTAGGGATCTGGTGTGTTGGTGCCAATTATATATTTCAAAAAGATAAAAGCACGCAGGAGTTTTTTATGTTAGGTGCAATAAATAGAATTTCATATATTGTCATCATAACGGTGTAGAATGTAGTGTGATATTGTTGTATTTAAACAATATTTTACCTTTGTGTGCAGTGTCCTGTTGTTCGGAGTGGCCATCCTCTCACTTTACTCTGTGCACCTTCTGCTGATGACTGCTAAAGAAGGAGGTCTGCACTGGATAATTGTTATATTGTTTATGTTAAATCTTGCACCAATCCCTAATCTTGTCTAAATATCCACCACTTTTTAGGATCGTTAATTTATGAAAAGCTTGGAGAGAGAGCGTTCGGATGGCCGGGTAAAATAGCAGCTTTCGGTTCCATAATAATGCAGAACATTGGAGGTAAGAAGCCTTTTGTGCTAATATATTTGACACCACCCACATTATCACAGTCTCCAAATAACTAATATTTCTTTCATTTTGTGTATTCAAGCCATGTCAAGCTACCTCTTCATCGTAAAATATGAGTTGCCAGAAGTTATCCGGGCCTTTTTAGGACAGGAGGAAATCACTGGGTACGCTTCCTCCATCTATACATTTATGTTTAACAAAAATGAAAATCAAATTGAGTTTCTTTTCCTTCTCACAGTGAATGGTATTTGAATGGAAACTACCTGGTGGTGTTTGTCTCTGTCGGAATCATTCTGCCGTTGGCCATGCTAAAAAACCTTGGTAAGAAAACCATCAGAATCAGTTTTGGTAAAAGGTCCACATGTTTTCGGGTTAAGATATCTTAATTTCAAAAAGAGAGATCCCTGTCTATGTTTTACCTACATTAGTTATAAAGTCTATAGCTCTATAATGTTTCACTGTGATGGCAAACTGCACTGTGGGCTCTGAAACTGGAGATGAGCAATCATCAAATCACTGTGGTGAGTTATTTAGATGCTTGAGAAAGTGATAAATACACAAATGAAATGAAGGGTTAGTCTTCCATGACGACTGCTGTTGTGATTTAGGGCTGTACAAAAATAAATGATTGATCGTTTTAAGTTTTAAGTTAGCAAGTTTTGTCTTGACAAATAAGTACAAAATATGACTAGAAAAGCATAGTGTAAAACATGCTAGTGTAGTACATTCTATTAACGTTGACAATGAAATTTCTCCACTGTGAGACAAATAAAAGAATATTTCATGTTATCTCTCTTATCTTATCTTATTAGCCCCAAAAACGAGATTTGACAAACACAAATTAAAATCAAATTCTGACTTGAAATGAGAAACAAAAATGCTGCTGCCATTTTCAGATTCAGATTCACTTCATTTGCCATTTCTCGTTAAAACCACATGCACAAATATCAAGTAAATCAAGCATTTACTACCTTGTATATATATTTTTTGCTGTGTAGTGTAGCGTGTTTCTGTGTACATTATTTGAATAAGTCTGCTTTTTGATTGGGAGATTTAGATCCAATGTTTGAGGGTCATAAATTGCGAGAGATTTTCTATGAATAAGTTTGAATAATAAAGTTACATTGTCCTGGCATATCTTGAACAGCAGCAAAAGCAACCTCTAGATTTAAAAAAAAAAAAAAAATCTTACAGACCGCATTGTCAGCCGCAAGTAATGCTTCACTCAGGCACCTGACTCTGAGCAGGCAATTGGTAACTGGAGACTTGTGTTAGGCCTGGAGTCACATGAAAACTGTCATTCATTATTATGTCATTACAACAGTTCATTGCACTCACAAATGGGGACATTCTCAATTTGAAAATGTTTATCCGTTATACTGACTTGCAGCAGAGTGAACTTATAAACAAGCATCAATGCTGGGAGTGAAGCAGACAGAATATACTTTTGTCCATACTGAAGTGGTCCTACCTCAAATAACCTCTATATCCTTAGATTAATATGCAGCGCTCAAGTTACCGCTACCACGTCTGCGTTTTGTTGCACTATTTTGAGACATGGGTCATGTCCGGGAATAGGAGATGTCATGGATCCAATAGAGCATTGATTGAGCGCGTGGACAGAGGAAAAGTACCAGGATTCCCCACCCAATAATGCATGTGTTTCAGAGGGATGACTAAATATAAGAGTTTCCTAAGTTATTCAAAACATAAATGCATCTTTTTAGATTGTATAAAGTTCCTTACATGGCTTAAGAATTGCAGTGACGTTGTCCCCTCCTGCTGCAGGGTACTTGGGCTACACCAGCGGCTTCTCGTTGACGTGCATGGTGTTCTTCCTGGGAGTGGTGAGTTGAAATGTTGCAGCACAAAGTTTATGAACAATGTGATCATTCTTAAAGCTGGTGTACCTATTTTTGTAGATACGACATGTCGTTTGTCGCCACAGAATGAGTTATGTAAAAGTAAAATGTTGTGATAAAATCTTATTCAAAAACATGAAATCTTTTACCTGCAAGAAAGAGCTTTGTGGGTCACTGTTTGACACTTCGGGGTGGGAGCTGATTAGCTGAATGAGGGTGGTCACAAACAAATGTGAAAACTTTGGATATAACTAATCTGTTTTGAGGAACTAGTAATATTGATTTTAAGGCTAGGTACCCCGACTTTGATAATAATAGTTTTACCCTTTTCTCATTAGTATATTATAATTGTTAAATACTACCACAGTAAATGACCACTTACAATCAACTTAATTTATTTTCTCTTTTACTGTGTTACTAAAAACCTGGTCTTTCTTGTGGTCTAGTTAATCTATAAGAAGACGCAGCTTCCGTGCCCTCTTCCGTTCTTCTACCACAACAACAATATTTCCGACGTGCACGGTTTTAACATCACAGGCGGGATGGACTTCTCCAGAGCAGATGTGTCTCCTGTGCACAGTACCCCCGACCCCCACCACACCACCGGGATACAGTTCGAAGCCCACCCTAACAACGAGGACATGTGCACGCCCAAATACTTTATCTTCAACTCACAGGTACATGTTTAACAAAGCACACATAACATGTTTATTTAGTATACAGTTGTTATTAGTAAAACATTTATATTTTATATGCGTAATATTTGCTAAAAATGTTAACACAGTAACTCTGCACTTTGAGTTGCCTTGTGTATGAATTGTGCTACACAAATTAAGTTGCCTTGCTATTAGTACAACTGCTTCACACTTGAACCTTTGGATGGACGATAGTAGAAAGCATAGTAAACAGAAGCCAGAGGAACGCTGTGTCGCAACATTGTCCTTTCTGCATGAAAGAGAACCCGCGATGGGAATGTCGAGTGTTTGTCTTGACTTGTTTGACCGAGGCGTGGCGTTAGGGTGGATTTTTCTGTGTCTGACCCATTCATTCTGTGGAAAAGGAAAATCTATAACCAATCCAACACCATAACAAAATTAAGTCCTGGTTTCATTATCTATATACCACCTAGTAAGTAGCTCCTACTAAGATTGTAAAAGATTGTAGTAACTAAGAACCAAGCTTTGAATGGAGTTTGCTCAAGAAGAGCCATAATCCCTGTGTCTATCCGTAGAAGGACGTTATCAACGACCACTTCATATCTACAGTGCCTTGTGAAAGTATTCGGCCCCCTTGAACCTTTAAACATTTCGCCACATTTCAGGCTTCTAACATCCATCCATTTTCTTCCCCTTAATCCATTTCTGGGTCAGGGGGGTGGCAGTCAGAGCTGCACCCAGTACACAGAGCACCAGCCCCTCACTGATCCTCCTGCAGGTGGTGAGTCCACAGGAGCTGAGATCTTTCAGTGGGAGCTTCAGGCAAAGTGGGGTTAAGTGTCTTGCCCAAGGACACAACGACAGCAGTCATCTGTCAGGCTTCTAACATAAAGATATAAAAAATATTGTTTTTGTCAAGAATCAACAACAAGTGGGACACAATTGTGAATTGGACCAAATTTATTGGATAATTTAAACTTTTTTAACAAATAAAAAACTGAAAAGTGGGGCGTGCAATATTATTCGGCCCCCTTGCACTAATACTTTGTAGCGCCACCTTTTTCTGCAATTACAGCTGCAAGTTGCTTGGGGTATGTCTCTATCAGTTTTGCACATTGAGAGACTGGAATTATTGCCCATTCTTCCTTGCAAAACAGCTCGAGCTCAGTGAGGTTGGATGGAGAGCATTTGTGAACAGCAGTTTTCAGCTCTTTCCACAGATTCTCGATTGGATTCAGGTCTGGACTTTGACTTGGCCATTCTAACACCTGGATACGTCTATTTGTGAACCATTCCATTGTAGATTTGGCTTTATGTTTTGGATCATTGTCCTGTTGGAAGATAAATCTCCGTCCCAGTCTCAGGTCTTTTGCAGACTCCAACAGGTTTTCTTCCAGAATGGTCCTGTATTTGGCTCCATCCATCTTCCCATCAATTTTAGCCATCTTCCCTGTCCCTGCTGAAGAAAAGCAGGCCCAAAGCATGATGCTGCCACCACCATGTTTGACAGTGGGGATGGTGTGTTCAGGGTGATGAGCTGTGTTGCTTTTACACCAAACATATCGTTTTGCATTTTGGTTTCATCTGACCAGAGCACCTTCTTCCACATGTTTGGTGTGTCTCCCAGGTGGCTTGTGGCAAACTTTAAACGAGACTTTTTATGGATATCTTTGAGAAATGGCTTTCTTCTTGCCACTCTTCCATAAAGGCCAGATTTGTGCAGTGCACGACTGATTGTTGTCCTATGGACAGACTCTCCCACCTCAGCTGTAGTTATCTGCAGTTCATCCAGAGTGATCATGGGCCTCTTGGCTGTATCTCTGATCAGTCTTCTCCTTGTTTGAGATTAAAGTTTGGAGGGACGGCCGGGTCTTGGTAGATTTGCAGTGGTCTGATACTCCTTCCATTTCAATATAATTGCTTGCACAGTGCTCCTTGAGATGTTTAAAGGTTGGGAAATCTTTTTGTATCCAAATCCGGCTTTAAACTTCTCCACAACAGTATCTCGGACCTGCCTGGTGTGTTGCTTTGTCTTCATGGTTCTCTCTGCGCTTTAAACAGAACCCTGAGACTATCAAAGAGCAGGTGCATTTATACGGAGACTTGATTACACACAGGTGCATTCTATTTATCATCATCAGTCAAATAATATTGCACGCCCCACTTTTCAGTTTTTTATTTGTTAAAAAAGAAATTATCCAATTTAAATTATCCAATAAATTTCGTTCCACTTCACAATTGTGTCCCACTTGTTGTTGATTCATGACAAAAAATAAACATTTTATATCTTTATGTTTGAAGCCTGAAATGTGGCGATACTTTCGCAAGGCACTGTACATACCACATTATACTATAGATAAAGTGCACTTCACTCAGAAGATGCAGATCTGTTTTTGTTGTATCAAGCCGCACACTTGTTTTCACACAAATTATGCCATTTTTCTGCCACTGCCACAACAGAACTAGCCTGGTCGTACCACACCATAGTACAAATTACATTTCCTACTAAGGGTTACATGCAGGGAAATGATGATTGACCGGAGTGTTCGGATGGCTAAGGCCAGGCGACAACAGAACTGTTACAAACTTGTTGTTACACAACAGTAAACCACTGAATATCCTGATTGCGTATTATCCATTCTGGATGGTTAATTTGTGGAATGCAGCATACACACCAGCAAAACATTTAATCAATTGGACGTTTTAAATAAATAAAATGTTATAAAGTAAGATATGTCATACTTTCTTCTGTGACTCTGCTTCCCCTGTATGAGGGTAGGACCATCCAGCCTTACCTCCCACTCAAGAATTACATTTGCGTATATGAAGGAAATTCTGTTGATGCTTTGTTGCTTGGTAACGTACTGCTCATTTTGGCTCCTGGTGGTTTCAAAATTATTGGACATATCGGACGGTCACGGGTGAAATTGTTTTAATTTAAAATATTGTCCTAAAGCTCACGTAATGTAAACTTTGTATCATGTGTATTTTTGAAATGATGGGTTAAATGTATTTGTCTTGTTTCAGACTGCCTACACTGTTCCCATCCTGGCTTTTGCTTTTGTGTGTCATCCAGAGGTGCTGCCCATCTACAGTGAGCTCAAAGAGTGAGTAACCGTTCATTTCTATTGTGAAGGTACAAAAGATGTATTATTACTATTATTACACCACTACATTACTACACTATGTGATCATTGTGTCACTACAGCGGCACTGTCCCTACCCCGTTTGCACTTCATCACACAGACTGGGTTGAGTTTTCATAAAAGTTTATCTGGAAATAAAATACAAACAAAAAGTGAATAAAATACATACATATTAATCCATATTTTAAGGTATTTTTGGACTCATCTTCTTCCTCATATCCATGGGATGTTATATATACTTTATATTTTAAAGTTTAGTTTATCAATAAAACTATCAGTTCATTAATTATACTCTGAATAAAATGTCAGTTAAATCAGTCTACATTTACTACTTCTCTATTACCTTCGACACATTAGCATGAGTTCTTAGTTTCTGTTTATTTATTATTTTTTATAATAGAAAAACAATCTGCCTCTTTAAGATCAGCTATACTGAAAGCTCATATCTGTCAATCTGTAACTTTGCGGTTGGTTCTATAGAGATTACATGTAAAAACCCCTATTAAGTTGCATTATACTGGTTTACATGGAAAAATCCCCATTAAGTTGCATTATACTGGTTTACATGAAAAAAAACCCTATTAAGTTGCATTATACTGGTTTACATGAAAAAACCCTATTAAGTTGCATTATACTGGTTTACATGGAAAAATCCCTATTAAGTTGCATAATACTGCTTTACATGGAAAAATCCCCATTAAGTTGCATTATACTGGTTTACATGTAAAAAACCCTATTAAGTTGCATTATACTGGTTTACATGGAAAAATCCCTATTAAGTTGCATTGTACTGGTTTTACATGGAAAAAACCCTATTAAGTTGCATTATACTGGTTTACATGGAAAAAACCCTATTAAGTTGCATTATACTGGTTTACATGGAAAAAACCCTATTAAGTTGCCATTATACTGGTTTACATGTAAAAACCCCTATTAAGTTGCATTATACTGGTTTACATGGAAAAATCCCCATTAAGTTGCATTATACTGGTTTACATGAAAAAAAACCCTATTAAGTTGCATTATACTGGTTTACATGAAAAAACCCTATTAAGTTGCATTATACTGGTTTACATGGAAAAATCCCTATTAAGTTGCATTATACTGGTTTACATGGAAAAATCCCTATTAGGTTGCATGATTACACTGAAGTCCTTGAAACTGCTGAAGTCCTTGAAACTGCTGAAGTCCTTGAAACTGCTGAAGTCCTTGAAACTGTTGAAGTCCTTGAAACTCTTGAAATCTTGAAACTGCTGAAATCCTTGAAACTGTTGAATCCTTGAAACTGTTGAATCATTGAAACTGTAGAAATGTCTGAAAGAGCTGAAGTCCTATTAAAATGCATGGGCCTATTAAAATGCATTGCAGAATTCTCAATGCAGATTTTTGTCCGATTGCGGAAAAACCGGAAATCGCTGAAGTCCCAAAAGTAATAGCAATAATCTCCCAAACATGTGGAACGTTTTGATGTATAACTTGTGGAAATTGTTGAAAATGTGAAAGCTGTGAAACGTGTCAAAAAAAATGACGGAATAAAGAAATACAAAACCAATGGTTGACTGCGGAAGGTTCCGCAGTCAATCAAAAAAATGACGGAATAAAGAAATACAAAACCAATGGTTGACTGCGGAAGGTTCCGCAGTCAATCAATGATGCATGGCAGGATGTGCCTCAGGGATGCATGAGAAACATACTTCATATTTGACACATGAAGAGTTGTCCTTCTCTATAAAAAAAGTATTGCATGAGTTCAAAATAGGGTTGTAAAATCTCGGATTGATAACACAATCTTTTTTTTAGATTAGATTTTTTTTTTTTTTCACCAGAAGAAAATATCAAGCATTTATTCAACTGTAGTCCTTAATTCCAAAATACCACCTCTGAACGCAGAATCCATAAACGACAGAACATCAATGTCACTTCTACAAACATGTCTTATTACTCCTGCCATTCTGACCGCGCACGCCAGGCTCCTTCAGACTCCGTGACGCCTCCTTCTTTGAGTGAACAAAAACAAAATGCCAAAGTACGTTGTTTGTGTTTTCAGCCGCAGCAGGAAAAAGATGCAAAATGTCTCCAACCTGTCCATCTTGGCTATGCTCATCATGTACATGCTGTCGGCCTTGTTTGGATACCTCACCTTTTACGGTACGGCCCTCGTCAAACCCTGTCCGACTCCTTTGACACTTTCTGGCTCTCTCATCACCCCTCGCTGCATACATTTGCATTATAATGTTCTATTTTCAATCTTAATGTTCTTTTCTGCAGACAACGTGGAGGCAGAGCTGCTCCATACATTTACAAAAGTCTATAAGTTTGACACGATGCTGCTTCTGGTGCGTCTGGCCGTTCTGACCGCTGTGACCCTGACCGTGCCCATCGTGCTTTTCCCGGTAAGCATGCCCGCATAGAAGCGCTCTATACTCCTCTCAAAGCTCTCGAAAGCGGGTTGTAAAAAGTGGTCTTGGGAAAAAGCAAATACATGACATGGGGCTTGGCCTACTTCTCGTTTTATATTTCTCAGTACATGTACGTCACTGTCGTCAGGTAGGTCACGTAATAAAATAAACACACACAATGTAAACACATATTTAACGTCAGTAGAAACCAGAAGGCCAATATGTTTACTTAAGGCCCAGTTATAAGAGCATATCTCAAGTCCTTATACGTCTAACTTATCATTTGTGAAGAAAAGTTACACACATATCATCGATGCTTATGAGACGTATGTACATAATCTTTAGTGTCAGACAAAAATATTACACGATTTAATTATTTTCCTATTTTTAAAGCCCAAAAAATGTCCTATGGCTTCCTTAATCCAGACATAACAGTGCTACTCCAAGTACTCGTTCTCAGAACTGACCTCCAAACTGCGTTTCTCAGCTCCTCTAAACCACCTTTCAAATATTTTACACAACAATATTTGCACATAAAGTCTTTAAATCTTCTTTTTACTTCTTGTTCTGTATTACCCGTTTTTCTACTCAGTGGTTTTACGCCATAATAACGTCATTCCAATACATGCTTAGTGGCCTGCTTTTGTCTGCATTGTTCTTTTATCTGGGATCTGACTATTGTTTTCTAAATGCCATGTTTGGGGTATTAGATTACACAGTATTGTCAATTATTCAAACTGTTCACACTTAGCGAAGGCTGTGCCCTGGTCCCCCTGTTTCAATGCCCTTTTATGGACATAGGATATATTTAGCTTGACCCTTATCAGACCGAACAAAACAGGCAGTAGGTAGGTCAAAAAGAATGTTAATGTGTAATGGACATCTTTAACAGAGAGAAATTAGATAAGATTAGTTGTGTTTGTGTCTGAAAGAAACATCAGTTATTTAAAATGTACTCTTTGATAAACGCGAGATGGACCTATGATGATAAAACTCATGAAGAGGGGGATTGATTTATTAGTATACGTTATTTTTGAAAATCTTTGCGTACAGTACTTGCTGGACAATAAGCCAATACTTTTTCCAAGTTATTTGTTGATCTCCAGAACTGATCATGCAGCACACATTTCTGATTTGCTGTATGTTTATGTGAACAGCAGAGAGAGACACGAGGAAAATACACAGGACTTATGTGATCAGGCTTATGGTTAGACTTTATTTTTGTCAAATAGATCAAAACACCTTGTCATGAAATCATGTTGCGTTTTTGTTTCGCTCCATCGGCTGTTGGTCATGTATTACATTACAATATAAAAACCTGTGGCTTATATTCAATGGATAAAATTAGCTTTCTCTTACAGGAATAGGTCACCGTTTTTACATACTGACATATGTTCTTACCTTACCTTAGACTAGTTGATATGTACCTGTCTGGTCTTTGTCCGTGCGCTCTGTCATGCAAACGGAGCACAAACGCAGCCTCTTCCACACACTGTATAGTTCCAAATCAGCTCCCGTTAGAAGCTACCAAACTCTTCCAAGTGTTCCCTATTTAAATACAGTTACGTGACGTGTTACTCTACAAAGTATAGTAACACAGAAATGTAAGATGTCAATTTTCTCAGCGGACTATATGGTGAGGCGTAATAATACGAGGGGCTCTATGTCTTTGGGAGTTAGTGTGCAGACGAAGTGCTCCTCGTATTATTACATTTCTGTGTTACTATACTTTGTAGAGTAACACGTCACGTAACTGTATTTAAATAGGGAACACGTGGAAGAGTTTGGTAGCTTCTAACGGGAGCTGATTTGGAACTATACAGTGTGTGGAAGAGGCTGCGTTTGTGCTCCGTTTGCATGACAGAGCACACGGACAAAGACCAGACAGGTACATATCAACTAGTCTAAGGTAAGGTAAGGTAAGAACATATTTCAGTATGTAAAAACGGTGGCCTATTCCTTCAAAAAGAAACTGGTGTGCTTTGTATACAGGTTTGCTTAACAGTCCAGCAAATACCGTACATGATTAAACTGTGGGTTTGATTTAATTCACAGCAGTTGTGTTTTACAAAGTGTTATTTTAGTTATCTCTAAATACAACAAGACAGAAAAATAAATAGTAACCAAGCCAGGAGTCGGGATGGACTCATTATTCATGAATGTAGTAATTGACTTGTTCCACTAGAGGGAGCCAGAGTGATGCAGCAGTGACCGGTGATGCATACCAATGACACTGCACTTGACAACACAAAGCTCCCATAACCCATTATCAATTTATGCAACAAATTATTTTACGTTATTTTGTAATATTCAGACACTTTTTGGCTTTATTCAGCAATAAAAATGCATACACATTTTGATTAGAGATTTTAAATGACCTTTGTCTAATGTTAGGGTAGAGGCTATATTATCAAAAGCTGTTTCTAGTTTATTATAGTAAATAATTCATGTCCAGTAGTTATTTTCATGAGTAAATCATGCTCTGCTTTTATTTGCCATTTTGAGAACTTTTGTCATTGGCAACGGTGCAAACCTCTCAAGATGAGTTTATACATACTTATGTCCAAAACATGTTTTTGTTTTTATCCTTAGATTATTGTTGTCTTCGTGATGTTGTCAGTGTCGGTGTCAGAGTGATGCGTTTGTTCTTTGTGCGCCACAGTGGAAGTTTACCGTCGGCTACATCACAATGGAAAAATCCAGGAGTGCTTGTGAAGGGAGAAGTAGAAAAAGGTGGAGCCAGTCCCAGAGCCAACCCGGGACACTAACACAAGGATGTGTCCGGTTCAGACAAAGATGACAAAGATCTTCCACAGTTCTATTTATGGTCACGGCCAAGTCACATGTAAAGCCTAAACACCAAAAAAAATGTAAGGTCATTTATTCCCTACAAGGAAAAATTAACCATTACAAAGACTTTATTGTCTTATTGCCAAAACGGGATCCAGAAATGAGAAAAGAGTCGCTAGATATTGATAAACAACTTTAAGCTGTATAAAAGTATAAAACCTTCCAACCACAGAAAAGCATCGTCAGACAGAAAAGTGATATAGAGAGGACCACCCTCTCTCAGCCAATCAGCTCTCAGCACGTGTTGTCAAATAACGACGCAGTGGATGTTTTCTCTAATGAGATGAAAACAGCCATATTAAGGTTTGTTTGTTCACAACATTTTTATTTCTGTTGTGACAAACAACAGGGATTTGATTGTGGGGAAAAAGTGAGGTACAGGTCCAGCTTTATTCTGTATAAAAATGTCCAACCATTAGTCGCTAGAAACCTCTGCATGATGGTAAAGGTGACTCATCAGAGGACTGCATCTTGTAAGTCCAAATCGATATCCCCAGAATGACTGCATAGCGATCAGAGCCAGGAACTACAGGAAAACTATTGAAGGGGGCAGCTACCGTCAGGCCATTTATTGTGGAAGAATTGTTAACTTTTCCATTTTCAATTTAGTTTTAGGAGACATGGAGGCATTTATCAAACCACTTACCTGGATTTCATTACAGGACTATAATCTGCCAACAGACAAAGGCAGTCCTCCTTATGTACTCTGTGACATTTACCACTGTCCTGAACTGAGAAGAGCTCGACCTTCAGTGGGAGATTGCTCTAGTGTGTGTTTGTGTGGGTGTGGTTAGCGGGTGCAGTCACGTGAAGACAGATGTGTAGAGGCCACACTGGGCTTTGGGAGGATACAGCGCATAATAAAGGGCTTTACATGGAGGCAGACACGGCCCAGTTCTCAGGCTCCGAGTAGCCAACCAGTCTATATTAAAAACACAAGCCCCAAGCTGTCCTCGATCCCAAGGTTAAGGTGGTCCTGGTTGGAAAATTTGACTCCTCTATTTGACCCAATCACTGCAACCCATTCTTTAATTCAGACCAAAACTAAATTAAAGTCTTGGTCTTTGGTAAGTGTTGTGTGTTAGCAGATTGTGTTACAGGGGAGATGGGTCTCTTGAGGTCAAGTTTTTTTTATGGAATTGAAAGATTGGCAAGTTTTAGCTTCATTTAAGTAAGATATCTCTATTCGGTGTGCTTGTTTTGAAGATTTATTATAACTATAGAAGGCAATATTGTATCTATTAGTATCTAGTCCATTTGGCAGCTATAAACCTGGCCTAAAGTTTAAGGAAGTTGCATATGTTGGTAATCTCACTCTCATCTGTGGTGCTGATCAATCAATGTATAGGTTTACATATCTATTAATACTTTTTGCTTTGAAACGCTGAGGATTGGTTTGAAAAGTTGCCATATGAAAGCAGTCCCACTCATTTGGTTTATTGATGTTCTCGTGTGGTGCATTTCACCTGCCATGGTTTGATATGACTGTGTAAACATACTAAAACAGTCCCAATGCAGCTGCAGTCAGTTTCACTTTCAATTTCAAAAGTTATGCAAATAAAAATAAACAATCTTAGCAGCAATAAGAAAACGTTATTGGACCAAATGAATGTGCCAGATGTTTACCAAGGTTAACTAATAACTATCGCTGTGTAGCTTTGGACCAAGTAAGTCTAATTTGGAATCATTGTAAAACATCTCATATGGATCATTCACTTTTTTTAGACCTTACCTACTTTTTGTATGTCCCTTTTATCCTTCTATGGTTGATTAAGGTACTCGCCATTGAAGACTAGGCATGCACCGATCCTGGTATCGCATGAAGGGAGCAGATATTGGAAATATTGTTGAATTGGGTGTCTGTGGTTGACGTTTACCCAGAAGGAGAGTTTTAACTTTTATTCAAACAAAGTGGTTCTGTAGGTTTGGGTTAGGGCTAATAATTCTGCTGTGATTTGAGTTTGTTTGTGCATGCTCTTCTTTGGTATCAGGTACCATCAGAAAGCCAAGTATCGAGATCAGTATCAAACATTAAACTAAAGTTTGGTCGAGGTATTCCTATAGTGACGACCACCTCGGTTGAATGGGATCAAGTCCGTCACAACATTGCTGTGCATTTGGTGTCCTGGAGGTGACCTGCCTGCACTGGTTCAGTTTGGGTCAAACCGGCTGGCTCTGGCCCCTGTCTCCTACGTAAGTGTTGGCTCCTGCTTATTCGTGTATGACAAGTCCTTTAGGCCGCAGCCAAATATGCGCCAAGACCATCCCAGCGCACACCAAAGCATCCCATAACTCACAACTGGACGGCGAAGAGTTTAAACCCTCCTCGTCAAATCTCCCACTCATACTCCACTTTTCCATTCACTGATTACGCAACTTGGCACCACAAACAAAGTTACAATGCTATGAGGGCTGAAATATGGCCACTTTATCCTTTCCAAGAAACCTTTGAAGGCCTCTGCTGGCAGTGGAAGTGGTGGAGATGGTCTCGGGAGAGTAGGGTCTTTGGGTTCAGCCTGACAGTGCAGAAAATCCTCTCGTTGTGACTTTATGTGCACTCTGATCCCGCTGGTGCTGGGAGCGTTTAAATCTAAAGGTAATAAGGGCAGGCTTGTGATCCACGGGCACCAGGGAGGAATCCAGGGGAGTGCAGTATCAATCTGTGGTAAAGTTCAAATCCGTTGTGTATACAGGATGATGTTGCGGCTTCAAGTTTGAGATACGAGTGGTATTTGCTTCAAAGCTTTTTTTGTGTCATGGAGAACTGAAAAACATTGATAGGTGACACACAGAAAATGTGATTATTGTTCAAAAGTTCATTTATTTGTGTATTTCAACTTACTTTGTGAAACCAACTATGATATAGACTCATTACATGCATTATGAAGTATGCTTGATATATAAATTTTTATGATTATGGCATCTTACGGTCCTGTTATGAGAGTTTTTTATTAGTTATTTAATATTTTTTACAATCTGTGTGCCAATTATCAACTTTATGACATATAAAGCCAGCATATATCTCACTTTAAGTCTAATGAGTCTGTCGTACATGAAGTTTCACCTGTATTTTGAGAAAAGGACATTTTGTACCCGGTAAGGAAGCAACAAAAAAGACATTATACAATCTCTCGGCCAATCTTTCAACGTGGTGAAGGTCCCTGGTCACTACAATTATGTGACTTTTGCATAGGCTCCACCCATTGACCACCATTTGTGCTCATACAGGAGCAATAGACCTTTTGCCTGCTCAAAGTGTTACCATGTGACACCTTGACATGTCCCTTTCTAAGACTTCTCATTATCGGAAAGAGCTTTTTGCGAATTGAACTAATACTTAATTCTACTTAATACTACTTCAGTTGTCCATCCTATAAGTCATCATTCATTGTTTGTTCTGACTGCTGCACCTACCTCTAAAGCTAGACACGCAGTCTGTTGACTAAAGGAGGAAGTCAAAATGGTCTATAAAGTTCATTGTCACATGGCATTCACTTTCAAACTTTTTCATCCTTATGGGTAAATATTACATCCATAAAATAATAATAAATTGTAAATACAATTATTAAATTCAAATGTGAATTCAAAATCTACCTTCAGCATTGTATACACTACAGGGAAGTTAAAAAAAACAGGACTTAGTATATGACCATACCTCCTGATCTCTGACTTGGATCTCTAGGTGGTAGTAGTTGCTTCTTTGTGTTTTTGTTTCCCCGTACTTTCAGTGTTGGCATTTACTGTGTTACTTTTTGTATCATTGTCTTGTGTTGTTTTGTACTAGTTTTGATTGTATTGTATTCATTTCAAGAATTCAAACAAGAACTATCGTCACTCCGCTCACACCTCCTCCAAACAGCAAAGGCGGGGCCTTAAACTGAACCACGGCTGATGCAACTGTGCGGCTCTATTGCACCGCAGGAGATAATCCCCTGACTTTGAATGACAGGCTCCGCCCCTTTTGAACCTCTCCTTGTGGTCAAGCTTTCACCTGATACCTGCAACCTTTCCCCCAGTTAGGGCTTACCCCAGTGCAGCTTCTTATGGTGCACAAAGCAGCCAGTCAACCATGGCCTTGGAGGAGAGACTGGGGCCAAATGTGGGAATTAGTTTGTGTTATAGCTGAGTCAACACAGGGATGGAATGTACCGCAGTGTAATCTATTTAACCTATTAATTAAATTATATCTACTGTAACTGGAAACATGTTATTAGGTCACTGCACATGCATGTCTCAAGTTTACAGCAAAAAAGGAAAACTGCAGCTGTGTCAGACTGCGCTCACATTCATATCCATTTGAAATTATTATAAAGCAGGTTTATTTAGAATATGCAAAGAGCCTTAATCTCATCATTTAGAGCACACATGTGGATGTTGGTGCCACTGCAAATCTTACAGAAAGTGTGGAATCGAATGGAAAAGTTTTATAAGAAAGTTTTATGAAACGCTTTTTAGTATAGTAATGTATTGCAAGGTGTAAAATATATATTGGCCTCTGCAATTCATACTGAAATGTATATAATTATAGTTGTTGTATATATTTGGTATTTCTTATTTTGTATTTCATCTTGAATTTTATTGTACACATTTTTATACGTATAATGCAAGGGAAATCAGTAATTCATCGAGAGGGGAAGAAAAAGTTTAGAGAGAAAGAGGTGAAAAAAAATGTAAGTAATGAAAATGACAGAATTAAAAGTAATAAAAAAAAAAAAATTCAAACTCACTCTTCTTCTAAAGTTTTTTTTGTTTATGATGTTTTGGTGCCATTTGTCAACAAAATACAAGTGTTGTTCTGACATATGTTTTGTGTGGTGCAGATCCGCTCGTCCATCACCACTCTGCTGTTCAGCGGCCGTGAGTTCAGTTGGATCCGACACCTTCTCATCGCTGCAGGGATCCTGGTCTTCAACAACCTCCTGGTGATCTTCGTGCCGACCATCAGAGACATCTTCGGCTTCATCGGTGAGTGCCGCTGAAAGCCAACTTCACCGTCCATTTGTGGAGATTTTGCCTATTATAAATGTCTAAACAAATGCACTTTATAAATATATATAATAAGAAACTAAAAACATTGCTTGGATGCTTCAACATCTGCGAATGGGCGGAGCTTAAGGTTTCAGAGAGAACCTTTAATTCCTGATATAAAATCTCTTCAAGCTCTTGATCATTTTAATATCCGTAACTCCTCTGGCAATGTCGTTTTTTTTTTTTTTTTTTTACTGGAATCTTAAGCTCCGCCCTCTTCACACCTCTAGTCAAGAATAAAGTTGCTTGATTATTACCAAATTTACTCATAGCTTCATTCTAACTTGAATCATGATCATTTCAAACAACTACTTCTGTCAAATTGGGGCACTAAATTGCATTTGATTTTTTCATAATATATTCTGAGCCTGTAAAATCCGACGCAGTACATCAGACAGAATACACACTATAATCTGTAGACAGCAGAGAAATGGCTCAATTTATAACCATCAGCTTTCACTCAGTGTCCGTCTGTGACTCGATAATGAGATAAGCTGCCACTGTTTCCGTCATGACTAAAATGGCAGGTCTTTCATTTAGAGGGCGCCTGTTTATTTACACTGAGCGTTCTATCATTCGTGATTTCAGGATCTTCTGCTGCCACCATGCTCATCTTCATTTTGCCTGCTGCTTTCTACTTGCGCCTGGTCAAGTCAAAACCTATGAGATCTCCGCAGAAAATTGGGGTAACTTTAAATATACATATTTTTGGTTTCTTTGTGTGCATGTTTCATCCTTCGTTGAAAAAAACCAAATACCCACTCAATATCAGAAAATGCTATCAGATCATTCTTTTGGACCACAATAACCAAAACCAAGAGTCAAATCTTACTGTGGTCTAAAAGAGAAAAGAATGATCTGAGGAAGCAGTAGATATTAATAATTCGGACCAAGAAATGAATAATTTCTTGGTCCGAATTATTGAAGACAGAACCAGAAACACTCAGACACATAAAGACAAGAATTACAAAGAAAAATACAGACAAGTTTATACCAGCGATACCAAAGGAGAGTGTACAAAGCAGCACCAGACCTGGGGCCTCCGTGGGAGTCATTGAGGACATTTGATTTAGCGTGTGCAAGGCTTTCTTGATTTTGAAATTCGTTCTCTTTTTTTTTTTACACCTCAGCAAGAACCGATACCTACTTTTTCAAAAAACATGTAATTCAATCATAGCACACAGAATATTTAGCGCCAAAAGCTATGGGTCATATTTGCATACCTCAACAGATGGTTTTTCCTGCAACTGTGTCACTGCACTGCCACTCAGATTACTGCCAGCACTGTTGTTTCTACACCAATGTTTTTTCTATCCCCAACCATCAACATTATTAGGCCCACAATAAAGTTCCCATAGCTCCCTTACCAATCATGCCATTTACAAAGACAGCCTTTGTCATGGGAGTAATGTTTTGCTCATATATTTTATTTTTACCTCACGGCAAGAAGGTCCTGGATTTGATTTCCACTTCTATCTCTATGTGAGAGGACAAAGACAGAACAAATGTGTATTATATTTCCCTGGTTGCCAACCCTCCGTGCTCACCATGTCCTCCCTGTCTGTGTCCTCTCTGCAGGCGGCCATCTTCCTCGTGGTCGGAGTCATCTTCATGATCGGCAGCTTGTCCCTCATCGTTCTCGACTGGGTGCACAACCCCCCAGGCTCAGGCGGCCACCACTAAAAACAGTTTTAACTGAAAACTGCAGCGAAAACCAATCACCTCTTTATTTGGAGTGTGTTCGTCCCTGTGGAGGACAGCGAGCCAGCTCTTTTCTACATATACATGGTTACAGTATTGACTCATATGCTGCATTGGGAAGACACAAAACATTTCACTGGAGGAAATCGAAACACTTTTTTTGTTGCTGCGTAGTTCAGGGTGGGGAATATTGAAACCCAAGAGAGGGGTGGACATCCAACATGGCGTCTGTACCAGCGAAAGGGCGCCATGACTGAACCAGATGATCATATCCAGCTATGAAGAAGAGACAATGGACACCAGTGACCATGTACCTCCTGTGCACTTGAAGACGTGTGGAAACGTTACTATGTAATGTCCATGGAGACGCAAACAAAGCACTTCTTAGCATTAACATTCACTTTGAACGCATTGGCAGGGCGGAGCAGCCAATCACGAAGCAATCAACTGCCCAAACAAAGGTCTTTGGCTGGAGTCCTCTGAGGTCAAGGGGAAAGAGCACATAACAGGAAAACTATGAATGTACACAATGTCACAATAGATCCAAACATCAGGATTTTGACCCAACCATCAATTAAATTAGTTTGATTAATTATATGGATTGTCAATGCTCCTACAATTACTTATGATAATTGAATTCAAATAGGTTTCCTGAATTAGGGTCTCACAAATACAGTGATATGCAGTTACTACTGAGATACCAGCCAAGTACAATCAGTTCATCTGTGCCATAAGAAACCCACCGCTTTTAAATTGAGTTTAAAGGATTTACTTCACATGTTTAGCATTTATTTAATGCATGATCAACACTGTCCTTGTAAGTGCCTGCCCTAAATTGAATGTTGCATTTATTAATACATTTATATTTTAAATTAAGGTTAATTGATGATAAATAACATAATTTTAATAGAAAAGCACCAACACATGATCAAAAATGATGAAGTAAACAAAACAAGTCTTGCTGTTCACAACCTGCTCGTCAGTGTGCCTTCCAGAACATTGTATATTTCTAACCCTCTGCGGTGCCTCTCCTCTTCCGCCATCACACGCCGTGAACACTTCCCGCCAAAGTGGAATACTTCTATAGATCCTGTGTGAATCTATGAGTCAAAAAGATATTTCAAATGAAATAGTGTATTATGTGCATGTTTTTTTGGATTCAGACTTGGTCTTTTTCGACATTTGTATATGCTCTGTAAATATTTTTTCATGGTACACTGACAGCTGTTTGTGTGGGTCGCTAGGGTTCAGCCTTCTCAAGCCTTGGGCAATCCACTGTTGTCCACTATATATATATATATATATATATATATATATATATATATATATATATATATATATATATATATATATATATATATATATATATATATATATATATATATATATATATATATATATATATATATACTGTGCTTTAGATTCTGCTCATGCTGTATGACAGTAGTGTTTCTTTATTTTGTTTATATCTAAAATTATCTTTCAATTAAATTTTCATTTATCTTTTTATCTAAGCAGTCTGTTTCATGATCATGTTTGGGCTCCGCTGACCAAAATTCACTCAAAGTCAAAGTGTTCCTTGAATGCTGTGCCATATTATGACTTTGAAAGGACAGCACTATAAAAGATGACTTCACATACAGTGTGCTATTGTCGCTGTGATAAATGCAGCCCCATCGGCGCGGTCATGCCATGGTTGTTGTGTTTTGGGAGAGTTTACTTGACTTGAGGTGTAACGTTACTTGAAACGGCTCATTCTCGGATCGTAATGCTTCAGTTCTTTGTTTCATGATTATTCGTAGTGATTCAGATTGTAACCTATATGCTATGGGCTGGAGTACCTAACTTTGAAACCACAAGAAATAATGGTGTTAAAACAGTGTGGTTCTATCACTAGTATTCACATGCATGTGTTTTGGCTCCTGGCAGTGAGACAGTACCAGCCCTCTCTCAGCCAATCAGCTCGTAGGAAATATCCTGTTTTACAACAAGATGAATACAGCATGTTGTGGTCTTTTTTTGTTTCTAGTTGTCAGACAAGACTCCTCATGTTGAGAAAAACAGAGTGTGTCAATGAAAAGAAAAAAATTTAGGTACTCCAGCTTTAAAATAGGCTCGCAAAGGAAGCCGAAAATCATTCATTATTTGGGCACAACAGTTTTTAGAAACAGACAAAATGAGGAGACCTGAATTTTTTGCAATAGACAGAGGACAAATAAAATCAGAGACATAAATAAATGAACAAAGTAAATAAAAGGCAAATGTAAGGCAATGCTTGTGGAAAGCCGGGGTATTGTAAAGTGTCCATGTAGCTTATCTGCATCACCCTTCCTGAAAGATCATCATCCAACAATGTGAATATATTTGCCCTAACTATAAAAAATTCAGTGATTATTGTTGAATTTGTTTGGACAAAATCCATGTGTAATCAACCTTAGAGTCTATATTGAATGTAAACATATTGTTCAATTCGTCTGGATAGTTCTCATTATGATGATTGTTGGGAAGCCCTATTACATAAAATAATGAAATGGTCAACTCAAGTGTAATGTATAATGTTGACCGAAATGCCACGATGTCACAATGCATGAACTTTGTGCCCCACTCAGGCTTTGACCCAAAAATCTTCCGCCTCTTTTTTTGTCACTGAGCTGAGCTGTACAATATTGTTCCATGATGTATATACTGAGTGTATATAAAGGCCTGGACTGGTGGTAGCGGTCCAGAGGCTGCAGTAGACAGTAGAGAGAACTGTACAGACACACCTGCCTTATTTTTCTATGGAGCCTCAGCCGGGAGCAGCTCAGCTTCCTGTGGATCAGGCTAAACATTCATGTTTGTATTTTGAACCCAGTCAAAGGGGATGTTTTTGTATCAGTGACGCTTTTTCGTTATGATGAATACAAATAAAAATGTGAAAGATTACGCTCTTATTGCATTGATTTTCGCAGTTCCAAAATCTGAAGGACATACTGCTTGTATAGAAATGGATCCATCTGCTCGAGTATTCGTGCTAAGTATCAATAAATGCACAATGATTGATGATCAAATGTACACTCCTGCCAGGCAGGATAGCCATAACCCTTAGTTACACACACAGCTTTGATTGATAATTTATGAAGATTGTGCAAAAAGTCTGGATTATAGTACACATCTCATTTAGTAAGATGTGTGATTCCTTAGATGGTGTTCCTTAGTTTGACTAAGCAACACCATGATCTGGAGTCAGGAGGTCTTGCAATGCTCAACACAAATATTATGTAACACATTGAACCAAAGGGGTGACTCAGGCTGAACTCAGAGGGGCTGTATTATAGTCTCACATCCACAGTTTGAGGTTTGATTCAGTGAAAACATCCACAGACTTGTGTGGAGTTGGCGTCTGTTGTCGACATGCCACACTGAGCTGTGATGTTCCCAGATTCCTGAGTCATGGCCTAAAATACTTATCCTGCAGGCCCCGGTTATACTACTGACCCTTCATAATCTAATGTGAGAGATTAACGCAACATTTTTACAACTACTGGGAAATGTACTTTTTCATATTTTTTCTTAACTGTCAACTACGTTGTCGTCCTCAAAATAAGTTTCATCGACAGTGGCTGGATGCCAGAGATGAGGAGCTCAGTCACACTGAAGGTGCTCGGATTAGAGCTACTGCTCCTCTATGTTCAAAGGAGCCAGTTGAGGTGGCTTGGGCTGTTTGGGTTACCGCCCTCTCCGTGTTCCCAAGAGACCCCAGGGAAGACCCATGACATGCTGGAGGGACTCTAGGAACGCTTTGGGATTCCCCTAATGAGTTGGAGGAAGAGTATGTGGATATGAGACTCCTGCCAGGCTCACCCTGCACCCGATAAAGCAGAAGGAAATAGATGGATTCTATACAATTCTGTACATAAAAAATAATCTATTTTTCAAACAGCAAATGTATAGTTGGTTTTACTATACTACCTTTCAGAAGAAAATTACATGGAATTTACCATGTATCAAAAGTTGAACATAATAGTTTATAATTGTCGACATTTTTTGGTTAAAATTACTGTCATTTCAAAAGCAAAATACAGAGACAGTTTACCTGTCATGTCCTCCCAGTGACCTACATTCTGCAACCTATTTAGAGAATATTTATAGCTCAGTGCGTCACTGTGTGGGGGTCCACTTTAAAGACTTCTGACCTCTGCTATAACCCCAGTTTCAGTCGTCAAGCAAACACAAAACTGAAGACGTGCAGGACGTGCAGGACGTCACACCGGATTCTTTTAGAAAGTCAACTTAGATTCTTTCAGTTGTAGCTGAAAAAATCATTGATCACTTACATCTAATACCTCTAAATAGATGATAATAAAAAACAGTGTACGTTAGCTTATTGGGATATGTTATGATTAAAAACATTCCAATTCAATTTAATTTATTCTTTTATTGCCCTAAATCACAACAGCAGTCATCTCGGAGGATTTAACAAAACCGTTAAAATCACCAACACAGATCAGAGAAATATAGAACACATAAGTATTGGTTCATATGGAGTTGATGGATGTCCAACTCCATGAAAGTTGTAGAATGTTGAGTGTCCTGTTTCAAACTTGTGAGTGTCCTCACAAGTTTGAAACAAATGCGTAATCACATGCATGTGACGGAATAAAAACATTTGCAATATTACATGTATACAAATTAGGAGAAGTACTGACATTATAATTCACGCTTTGGTCACAGATATATCATTTAGAAGGCAGCAGTGGAGCTTTTGCCCCTGAGCTCATTCTGTCGACACTGGTCTTTGGCTGATGGCTGCGTTTTACAGACGTTTACAAACACCACACTCCAGAGAGCAGCCATCCCCAAAGCTGCAGGATCATGATGACGTTACACTTCTCACTGGTGAATGACGTCCAGTGGAGCCTGGAAGTGATCATGTACAAGTTCCATCACTATCAACTACAAAAATGTCATTTGAATGTCAGTAGGGAAAAAACATGAATCCC